GGTGTGGTGTGGTGTGGTGTGGTGTGGTGTGGTGTGGTGTGGTGTGGTGTGATGTAGTGTGGTGTGGTGTGGTGAAGGGTGGTGGGGTGGGGTGGGGTGTGGTGTGGTGTGGTGTAGTGTAAAGTGATGCGATGTGGTGAAGGGTGAGTATGGCGAAGTGTGATGTGGTATGGTGTGGTGTGGTGAAGTGTGGTGTGGTGAAGTGTGGTGTGGTGAAGTGCAGTGTTATATCTTATTGTATCTTATTAGTATCTTAGTATCTTATTGTGTGGTATGGCGTGGTGCGGTGTCGTATGATGTAGTGTAATGTGATGTTATGTGGTGAAGGGTGAAGTAGGGTAGTCTTGTTTGATAAAGTGTATTGTGATGTGGTGTAGTGTAGTATGGTAAATTGTGGTGTGGTGTAAAGTGATGCGATGTGGTGAAGGGTGAGTAGCGTGGTGCTTGATATTGTGTTTAATATGATCTTATTCTATCAGGTGTTTAATCACAAACCTCTAGAAGTGGCCAAGGAAGAGACAAGAGCTTGTTTACTTTCAAACATACACCATTCACTTTGAACAAACGCAGGTGTCAAGACCAGAACAGAAACCCGACTGTTCTCAATGGCATGTACAACATTATCGATTACGGGGGCCCCAGGCTGAAAGTCACGGTAATCGATACACACTTTCTTGCCTTTTTGCTCCAGTGCTTGAAGGAGTACATCCTTGACCCATGGACGGTCACTTTTACTGTACGAGATAAACACATCGTATTCAAAGCCCTTGACTTCCTCATTTTGTCTCTCGTAAGCTTCATTAGTTGGTTGAACCTCATCAACAACTGTAAGAGAAGATCAAACGATGAAAAATGACAAAATGACAAATAAATGATAACTAAAACACCCGGGGGGGAGGGGGGGTACTCCCATATATGGACTATACGGGGATGATCCGCTGAACTGGGTATGGTTTTTCGAGCCTCTTGTCATAAACAGGGTGTGCAATTTCTTCCAAATTCCAAGTTCTTCCTGAGTTTCCTGTCATATTCAGGGTTTCTACTTTCGTATTGACCGAAACTGGTTATTATGGTCGTMAAAAAAAAAAAAAAAAAACGCGAGCTGACATGATAATTGAAACAGGAACTCAGTGCAATTAATTATATCTTTTGTCATAACCAGGGTCTGTAATTTTGATTTTTTTTTGTCATAAACAGGGTACCCCTTTCAGAATCCCAGCGGAACACCCCTACCCAAATCCTGGCGGAGTACCCCCCCCCCCCCGGGACCCGGGGGCTAAAACATCTTCAATTTCTTAAGAAACTGAGCCATCATGAAAAAAGATTATAAACTGACTACTTAAATCGTGTAGTACTGTCGTCCAAGCGAACATCGATATATCAAACTGGAATCCGGCTAACACACCAGCCGTTCTGGGCTGATCTAAGTCAAGAAGGCGGATGAAATTTAGCGTGTTATCTTGTCAAGCCTTCAGTCTTTGGGCTACCTGTGTTGCCGTCTACCTGATCCTAAATTAAGATCATTACTACTCAATTATTATTAGCTATGATTACCTTGAACTGCGCTTGTGTGACCTTCAGTCACATCACGCTCTTCATTCTCGAGTAATAGTTCTTCCATGCGTGACATAGCTGGGGCTTCTGTGTAAAAATATATTTGATATAATATCGCAAACCTGTAGTAGATTTAAGAAAATAATATGAGTCCAAGATTCAGTTTTATTTTTATTTACAACTATTGAACAACTAGCATGATTTCTTTTAGCCTATTTTGCAGACGTCCGACACAAATACAAACGTCTGCAAAGAAGGCTAGATTTCTTTCGATGCTCTTATTCGTCTTGGTTCGGTAGGCTAACGTTTTGCTGTCTTGATTTATTCAAGATTTTGATGAAGTATTGTGAGGAAAGTAAACATGTTGACCAAAGAAAATGTTTTTAAAAAATTAGAATACGAAAAAGGTGCTTAACTGAAAAGTGAGTTAATTTTGACGGCGCTAACAATTGACTAGTCTGTGTCACATCCGGAAAAGAAAAGGCCTGATGGAACGCAGGCTATAAATTGAGTAGGTTAAATTTTAATATGGAAGTCTTAGAACATGACAATTGTCTTTTTTCTTTACCTTATGCATAAACTCACCGTTCTTAAAAAGTTTCACATGTATTCTAGACTTTTACCAATGAATCAGTTGGTATACACTGAATCGAAATAATAATTGTTCTGGGCTAGCTGTCTAGCGACTGACTAGCTTCTCAGCTGCCTCATATATGTAAAAAAGCTTTTATACTGTTTCCAAGTGAACGACGAAGCTAGTCATTTGCTAGTCAGCGCAGAAAAATAAATTCGATTTGGTGTATATCGTTGATATTTTTTGTTTTCGAATTTTTGTAATATTTTTTTAAAAATTTAAGACACATTTATTTGATACAGAAGTTCTCACACCAAAGTCGTTCCAAACTAAAGACGTAAAATTTCTAAAATCGCAGCAACATCGACCACAGATTGATAATTCTAATTTCTTACCTGTTTCTTATCTTGTTGGCTTGCTTGCTTCAAGGTTTCTTTCTTTTTCACTGTCAATCTTACTAATAACACGATCGAATCGTGGCGAACCTCAACACTTATGTCGAAAAACCAAATTATGGTCAACCAGCAAACTGGAGCACTATTTGTTCTTCAAAGTACAAAGAAGGGATTTTTCCCTTCGTACATTCTAGAATCTCGTAATTCCAGTTATCGGGGGGTTTCCCATGAAGAGAATTACTTTAACTGACATCGCACCCTTCGCGAACATGAAAAGGAATCAAAAATAATATTGATTTTTAACATCCAGTTTTAAAAGCAAAAAATAATAATTTGATTGATATCAGCTTTAACTATTATTTCCTTGGCCATCCAAAAAAGCATTTAAGTGAACACGTAGAGGTCATCAATGACTTTATTTTTGGATTCTTGATTTCATTATTCGATTCGAACATTCATTATTGAAAAAGAATATACAAAGCTTACTATATACAAAAGCCAAGCATATATGCAGCTGAAATGCAAGGGCAGGTTTTTGTGCAAGGAATATGTAATATTAATGACTTACCTTCTGTTTCCGCTATAAACAAGAGCCTACGAGCCAAGTTAATCGAATTTTCAAACTATTATTATTATTATTTGAATATTGAAGATTCGTTTTTATTAATGAATGTTCGAATCGAATAATAATGAAATCAAGAATCCAAAAATAAAGTCATTAATGACCTCTACGTGTTCACGCTTGAGGTGGTTTGACTGTAATGTAGAATTTCTTGGGCCAGAAGTCTAAAGGGGAATACCCTGAATTACGTTCATGACATCCGGTTGTAAGGAATGCCAGTTAGTTGCTATGGTGACTTTTGCCAAACAAAAGTGACTGCCTGAGGTGAAGTAAGAGGAAGTCTACTAATCCCAGCCAATCAGAGTTCGTTCAACAACTCGACAGAACTATATGTGGACTGTGAAAGATGACGTAATCTGTTTCGGTCGATCACTATAGAAAATATATCAAATATATATATCAAATATATATATAATCCTATTATCAAAGTGGTTGCCATATTAGCATGATATGAATATTTAAATTATAAGTTCAAAATACATTTACTACACCTTTTGCTGTTCATTAACCGCAAAGGAATATTCATTGAAGCGAAGAAGCATTGTCATTAGAGCGAACAGGCATACAATAAGGCGAACGGAGTCTCAATAGTGCGATGGAACGTTCATGATGGGGCACGGGGATTCCTTCTCTTAGTTCATATTCTCTTGTCTCTGTGTATTCTCTGTATTTAACTATGTACACCTTTTTCTGTTCATTAACGGCAAAGGAATACTCATTGAAGCGAAGAAGTATTGTCATTAGAGCGAACAGGCATACAATAATAAGGTGAACAGAGTCTCAAGAGTGCGATGGAACTTTCATTAAGAAATTAAGCATTGAATTACCCTGCGAGCAGAGTCTCCTTTTAACTCCTTTCCTTCTCTCGCCCGTAGAGGAGTTAAAAGGAGACTCTGCTCGCAGGGTAGCATTGAATTTGATAAACATGAATATGTTTGCGTGGGTTCATTAACGTTTTCAAACTTTCATTAACGTTTTGGTGCAGACAATAAACCACAACACGCATTCAATACAGTGTTGGTCAATAAAATGTTGGTAAATGTTCGCTGAACCGACTCCCGTACGAATAACAATCGCGAATAATTCGTACGGGAGTGAAAAATGTTGGTAAATGTTCGCTGAACCGACTCCCGTACGAATGACGATCGCGAATAATTCGTACGGGAGTGAAAAATGTTGGTAAATATTCGCTGAACAGACTCCCGTACGAATAACAATCGCGAATAATTCGTACGGGAGTGAAAAATGTTGGTAAATATTCGCCTACCTACAGAGTTCCCGAGAAAATCGACGAAAGTTTTGAGTCCCGTACGAATGGCAAATACAAGTTGCCGTACGGGTGACGTACGAATAGCCACTCCGTTTCACGGGAATATGAAAACACTGACATTTTCCAGAATACATTATCGCACGATAGCATTAATTTTATTATTATTTTTTATTACACTGAACACGAAAATCTGCTCCTACGATCTTTTATCCTTAAGAAAGACATTGTAAAAATCGAAGAAAATTAAATATAAAGATTTAATTGAATACAAACTACCAATTWTTTTTTTTTTTAAATGATTAAAATTTTTTTGAGTCAGTTCAAAAGTTTCAGGGCAATAAAAGGCTTTGGAGATTTCCTCTTTTTAGACAGACGGAATACCTATAATCATTAATATTATATTATATATCTATTAAAAAATATCAATGAAATTTTCACTACAAAAATCTAGGCCTAAAAAGAATTTCCCTTTATCCATAATCTTTTTTTTTTTTTTATATAAGTCTCCTTCACTGTTTGTTAGGTGTATTTTTGAAGTAGTATTTAAGATTATTTTGAAATTTATGGAAAACGAACCGGATCAAAATCAAGCCTTGTAATTCCATACAACTTAAACATTGACTCACAGATTTTCACATTCTCAACCCTTCCCCCCTTAACTCTTGATTACTTTGCTTTCTTTTTCCTAAAACACCTTTTTGATTTGTTACTATCGTCTTTGACAATTTCTTGTTCGACGACTTCGTAATCTGGTTCATTGATCGTCCTTTCTTTGGTCAGATGAGTTTGCCAAACTGCAATGCGACCATCCCTCGACCCAGGCCCCGTCAGCATGAACGCTGTTTCGGTCAAACACATGGATCGTATTCGATCTTCGTGGAGCTCAAGACTCTATAGAATAAACAAATCGAAAAAAAATTGAAAAACTTTTTAAATTGATACTTTGAGCGAGATGAGCGGATACGAAGGGAGAGAAGCAGAAACCAGTCATGTGACCTATCCCTACGTCGCATGGCAAAATTTGACTCAACAAAATTGTCTACGAAGTTCAATTTGGAATTTAATTATACTCCTCTTGTTCAATCAAAATCACGTAATTTTGTTGAGTGTATTATAAATATTTTAATATTAAACATATTGAATATTAAAGTATCATATATATTTTAGTGACCTCTTTCAAAATGAATGTGGTGACGACCACTATGTGATAATGACTATGCGATGATGATAATAATGTGACCGAGGATGATGATTGAAGATGATGCCGATGACAATGATGATGGTGGTTAATGATCAGTTTGAAATATATTTAATACCTCCTCTAGATGACAGTTCTTTGCATTAAAGATGTGAACAATACCATCTCGACCACCGGCCCAAACCTGACGACAAAGCAAAATACAGCCAATCAGAACAATCGATATAAGAATCTTTTACGTGTATAAACGTGCAAATACAAAGGCAACCCAAAATTAAAATGTGTACCTTTCCACCACACAAGTGAATCATCTGAGTAAAACCTTGAGATTCTACAGTATGTATCACGTGACTATGAGTATTGGTATCCCAGACTGCAATCAGTCCTTTCTTGTCAATACCCGTCCAAACCTAAGATCAAATAAAAACAGAAGACTTTGACCAAAGTGAAGTCCCATTATATATATAAACCAAAAACACTAATAGACCTTTCCCGAATTCGCTTGGATGATCACGAAACAATGGTTTGAAGTCGAGACTGAACTTGATTCTTTTATTCGTCAAGTCCAACCTCGACTTGAAACCATTGTTTTGTGATCAGTCAAATGAATTCGGGAAAGGTCTATTTAGCCATTCCGAGCCGATTTAAGAAATACTGGGTCTAAGAGGACACATTTCTAAGATGGCGTCCATTTCGTCTCCTAAAACAGCCCCAAAATGCACTGCAATACCAACTCGACCCAGTTTTTCCTCAAGCTCAAAATGGCCGATACAAACCCCTGGTTACCAGTGCCTTTTCAGCTTTTTTAAAAGACAGATTGTCCTGGTCATATTTGTTACCCGTTTGGTGCCGCCTTCAAGCGCTTCAGGACGAGTTTAAAAATTCATGAGCTACGAGAAGAAAATGTCTCCGAAAACTAAAACTGATCGAGAAATTTCCAACTGTCAGTCAGTAATAGACCGTTTTCGAGTTAAGTAAAATGCGCGCTGTGTTCCTTTATCACAGACTCGTTTATTGAGGGTGAGTCTTATTTCAGTGTCTAAATATTCACAAATACCAACGGTAAAGTAAACAAGCACAAATTGAACGATACAAACACTTTGAAATTCCACGGACCTACACTGAAATACATGAATATTCAAATCGCAAACTAGATATATTATTACTATCATTATTATTATCATTATTATTATTATTATATTATTAGTATTATTTTTATACAACTTTGTTTCACGAGCGGCATATGATATGGTCTATTCACCATTTTCCATACTTCGGTTCACTGGTCAAACACAAAGCATTCAGTCGAGGTTGCAAGGTTCAAATTTGAATAATCCTTTGAAAGTACCTTGGCGCCTCGCTTGAATGCTTTGTGTTTGACCAGTGAACTGATGTATGGGAAATGGTGAATTGATGGTTTTCACGGCGGCCATGTTGTAAGAACTTAAAGTGCTACTACGACGAAAATCGTTCAAACTTGGATTCAGCTGAAACTTCCTAA